ACCCGCTTTTGATCAAACCTCGTCGTCATCTCGTCAGGCTCCGACTCTGGAGTTGCGAGTTGCGCATTCCACCATGGCTCGCAGCAAGAAAGCGGCTGCGGCTGCGGCTGCTCCTCGCATGAGCGCGTTGGCAGCCCGCAAGGCACGTCAAGAAGCGCAAGCTCAAGCGCAGCAGGGCAAGACGCGCAACGCTTCCCGCACATCGAGTTCGCGTCGAGACGATCCGCAGTCAGAAGAGGACGAAGAGGCCGATGTCGAGGTGGTGCTGCCGCTCCCAACCGCCTCTCAAGCAGCCTCGTCTGCGTCCCGAGCCACCGCTCGATCCTCCTTCGGTACTCCATCCCCCGACAAACCATCTCCTTCAACGTTGAAGCGCCCACGCAGGTCTTCCGCAGCGCAAGAGGCATCCTCCTCCATCGCCGTCACGAGGCCGAGAAGGAACTCGACTGCGAGCAATCCGCACCAGCAGCCGCAGCAAGTCTCCACGCCCCAGTCGACCAGAGCAACCAAGGCCAAATCCTCACAAAGCACACCCGCTCGAGGCAGCGGCGCCAGGAATTCTCCGTCGTCGAGCAAGAGGACGCCTGCTTCGTCGAAAAAGAAGGGCAAAGCGCGATACGACTCGGATGCAGACGACGACGTCGACAACGATTCAGATCTCCTCCGCGACCTTGAGAAAATCTGTGCCGAGCTTTACGGCGAGGCTGGAGCCAGCGACGTCGATGCCTCAGAGACAGAGGAGCCGCCTCGCAAGAAGCGCGCAAAGCAGTCCTCCAACGCGCGAGACACTCCGTCCAAGTCGACCTCCAAAGCAAAAAGCACGCCAACGAAGCGCACCCCTGCCAAGCGCACCCCTGCCAAAGCCGCACCAGCGGTAAAGACGCCACCGAAGAAGGCCGCAGCCAAAAACGCGTCTCCACAGAGGGTCGACGTTGCGGAGACTTGGTCCGAAGCCGCAGCTTCCCCAGCAAAGACCAAGCAGCCAGCCAAGAAAAAGCTCACCGCAGATGAGATGCGCGTCAGAGATGCAAAGCGCTACTTTGCCGCTGCCGCACGCCAACGCGGCAAGACCAACGTCGGCTCATCGGCTATGCCTGTTGAGGACGAAGCAACGGGCTTCCTCGCTTTCGGTGACGATGACGATGAAGACGAAGATGACGACGACCAGTCGAAACAAGCAGACGCAGAAGACGACGATGACGACGACGAACAAGGAGAAGAAGCTGATGAAGAAGACGAGGACGGGTCGGACGACTCTTCTGACGACGATGCCGACGAGCCGCAGAACGGCCAGTCCAGTCACACGGATGCCTCCATGCGTAGCTTGCCTTCGGTCAATGGAAGTCCACGTCGTGCAGACCGCACGGCGAAAGGAGGCAAGGCGCCTCCGATTCCCAAGCCCAGCAAGATCGTGCTCGACGACCCAGAGGACGAGGAGGAAGACGATGATCAAGAAGACTCGGATGCCGTCCCATCCGAGGATCATGGTCTCTCTCGTGAAGCACTTTTGAATGCAGTCCCCTACTCTCGCTTCGTTCCCGTCCTGGAAGGCGAGACGAGGAATGTCTCTGTGGTCGAGAACAAGCGCAAGCGAGGCAAAGAAGCGATCTACTATGGCTTGCAAACCGGAGAGACACTCGTCTTCCTCGGCATCGGCCATCTCGAAGTGCTTCACGGCAGTGTGCAGATGGGAGGCGCCGTCATCTCCTCTTCCTCCCAGGGTCTCAATGCCGCCGATATCTATGCTCCTCTCAGCAACACGCTTCCCGTTCTCAAGTCGGTATCAGCATCGCGCTATCCCGGCCACGCCGAGGCTGCAGGCGCCTCGCAGAGCCGCCGCGACGACCAAAACGAATCCAACGCCGACGGCATCTTTGACAGCGCCTTTGACACCGTCGTCAAGCTGACTCCACTCTCTTCTCCCATCACCTCCCTCGGTCAAGTTTGTCCGATCGGAGGCCTCGCCACGCTCTTTTCGATGCCGCCCAGCCTCGAGCTCAGCAACAAGGTCCATCAGCTCTCCACCATCAAGGTGCTCCTCGAGCCCGACATCCAGCACCTCATCCAGAAGCAAAGGCAGAAAAACCTCTTGGCAAACGGCGTCTTCCCTACTGTTGGCCTCAGCGCCACGTACATTCCTCACAAGTGGCAGTCCGCCCTTCACCGCCTCTCGGCATCGGCCCTGTCCGCTGCACAGCATCCGCAGGAAGAGTCGGCCGTGGCGCTCGTCCGTGGAAACAAGAAGGTCGGCAAGAGCACGCTGAGCCGCATGGCGCTCGAGAGGCTGCTGTCGATGGGAAAAGTCATCGGTGGCAAGGTCGCCTATCTGGAGCTCGATCTGGGACAGAGCGATCTTGGTCCGCCGGGAATGGTCGCGCTGCACCTGCTGAGCCTCACCGACCATGTTCAGAGCGAGGTCACGGAAGAGGGAGAAGCCGACGCGACGGAGCGGGTCGATCCTGCACAGGAGGCAGAGGCGGAGGCAGAGGCGGCGAACGAGGCCGGAGGATCAGAGTCAGCTCCTCAAAGCAACCAGGCCCGCTCTCCTCGAAGCTGCGTCAAGCTTGGTCCCGGTTGGTGCCAGCCCCGTGTACCGATTCGAGCGCACTTCATCGGTGACGTCTCGCCTCGCGATGATCCAGAGGGCTACGTTGCCGGCATCCATGACTTGATCGATTTCTTCCGTGCTCACATCCAGCCGGGTCAGCCTGGAGAAGATGGCGAGGCGCAGCGTGTTCCGCTCGTGATCAACACTCAAGGCTGGATCAAGGGTCTCGGTGCTGACCTCGCTGCACGCATCGAGCCTCTGCTGCGACCAACACACATTTTCGATGTCATCCCCCGAGGATCGCCTGATCCGGTCCCGCCTCCGACTCGAGGCCAGCCATGGCTCGACGCTGAAGGTGCCATTCTCGGATCTGGCCCCGAGATCGTCACCCTCGAAAGCGTCTCGCAGTTGGAGTATGTGCAAAACGCATTCGGACAGCAGCGATACAGCGACGGCAGCCACGGACGCGCCGAGTCCGATGCCAACCGAAGCAATGGCTCCACCACCGCAGCCGACGACAAGCACGAAGCTGGCGATGGCGGCTCGACGCCGCCTCGCTACATCACCGAAGTTGGCTCCAAGCTGGCTCCCGCCGAGTCTCGGCTGATCAACATCATGAGCTATCTGTACGCAACAGAGTTGGCTCCTGTTGGACGTGACAACGCCTCCACGCAAGGCACCTGGGATTTCAGCCAGCCGCTTGTGCACCGACATCCTCTTGTGGTCGACGTACGCAACGGCCTCAAGGCAGGCATCCGCGTGCTGGCTCTAGGCTCGTCGGTGCCTGACAGCTTGAAGCTGATGGCTCTCAACTCGTCGATCGCTGCTATTGTCGTTACGGATCGCAGCGATGCCACGCAGGCGCAGCAGGCGCCGGAAGAGGGCTCGGCGGACGCACAGAAGCAAGGTGACGTTGCCAGCACGTGGAAGCAGGCGTTCGACCGCGCTGCCAAGATCGCTCAGCCCGGTCGCGGACTGTCGACGCGCTGTGTGGGTCTCGCCATTGTCCGCTCCATCGATGCCCTGTCCGGTCGAGTCCATCTCCTCACGCCGCTCGATCCGGGCTTCTTGCGTCAGGTGCAGGTAGGCACAGGTGCACACCTCGGTCTCGTCAAGGGGGCCCTCGAGCTGCCCGTCTGGGCCTCGCTCGACTTTGACGCCATCAAGGAGGCGCGCGAAAGCAGACTCGACGTGGCTCCCCGCACCCATCCCTCGCCGCTTGCCTCCGACGGTGGTGCTGCTACCAGTGGCGCCGAGATGGCCGGTGACGAGCAGTCGCAGGAGAAGGAGCAGTCGCCACCGCAGAAGCTGCTTGCGGGCATGCCCCGAAACCAGGTGCCTTACCTCGAGTGGCCTCATGCCGCCAACGCGTCGTCCTCCTCTTCTTCTCGACAGAAGGGCAAGCACGCTGCAACCAACGGCAGCTCCAGCAGCAACGGCTCCTCTGCGCCGCTCACGCTCGGCTCTGAAAAGCGTCGCGTCCGTCGCAACCTCATGCGCAAGAGCCAGTTCGTATGATCCAACCCCGCCTCATTGTAGCTTGCCAGCATCACTGTCGAGACTGCATCACTGTCGAGACCATCTCATTGATTGCTGTTGTATCCAAAAGCATTATCCATCTGTAACTCAAGCCATTCCAATGTCTTGCAATGTATTCCCCTCATCTCCCCCTCGATCATGTCGTTTGTTTGCTGTCAGTCACATCGAAAATCGTCCTCGTGTGCGCCGGCGACGCCGTTTTTCGCCCACGCATGGCGCGTCAAGGGTGACCCTCAAGCTGCCTCCCGTATCGCGGGTCAGCTTTGAGCGTCGCTTGACGCTCATCATACCTTCTGCAGAGCAAAAAAAAAACCCCCGCCTGTGTTGGTATGTTGACTAGGAGAGTCGAACCTGAGCATAGTCAATGCACGCACGGCACACACAGGCACAGGCTGTACGTCGGTGTCAGCAGCTCAACTCAACTCAAAGAAAGCTCACGGGATGCAACTCGGCTACGCAGCTCATGCGCCGGAAAGTCAAAAAACTGGCCAAGTAGCAATGCAGGCAGTGGTTTCCAAGGAGACGGCGACGGCCTGGATTTTCAAAGTCTCCGTGATACCTGACATGTGGGCCTGCTGAGCGTCGCTTGACCCGCATCTTCTGAAGCTTCGGCGCGGCAATCCCGGTGGACCCGTCGCTCGAGAAGACGCGTGATGAACAAAGAGCCGGTCAGACTGTTTGGCGGAGGCTGCTTGAGGTAATTTTGGCGTATAAGGGGGGGTCAGCCGACGCTCACTTGACCCCGTATTGAGCGTCAAATGAGCGTCGCCGGCGCACTCGACGATGAATTTCGATGTGAGTGCGAGACCATGAGCGTCCTGCCCACGATGACGTTCTGCAGATCAAGTTGTCGATGTTCGGTGTCGGTGTGGAAGCGTGAGATGCGAAAAAATCGCAAAAAATGAAGATCAAATGACCCCAGCCCGATTCGAACGGACGACCTTCGGAAATCGGAAAATTACGTAATCCTTATGTAATCCTAACCTAGGAGGGTGAAACTGGAAGCCGACGCTCTACCGCTGAGCTATAGGGCCTTATGTGTACGGAGGAGCTGATGTATGCAACTATGAACTACGCACTACATTGACGGTGATGCAGATCTCGCTGTCGTTGTTGGAGCCGATGCATTGCGACATTGTATCATGGCTTTTGAGGCTCGTCTCTCTCTGTGGAACGAGGCTATCGGCGAGGAGAATGCGAGTCCGATGCTGACCTTGGGGACACTCTGACGACGAACACAGATGCGGACTTTGCAGGCGACACTGAGAGACGAAGGTCCACCGTAGGCATGGTGAGCCTACTTGATGGCTTGTCATGTAGCTGGCTGTTGAGCTGTCAGGGATGGTCATCGACCAGGTGCGCATCCAGAGCCTCAAGCGAAAGGGCGCCAACTAATGTGGTTCCGGCTCTTCATTGTGTCTGTAAACAGCCTGCACCAAAAGCGAAATGCTGTTGAGCGTCACTGTGCTCGCTGAGGAGGAGTGTTGAAAAGCCGAGAAATCTGCCTTCACTACTCTGCCAGCAGTCACACAGTCCGCCTTGTGTCGGCACGGACGACGCATCACACGCGCGACTTGCACACTGACTGCGTCCAGCAAGCTCACACAGGCCATGAACACAACACGCTTCCGCAGTTTCCCACAAGCTACAAGCCCCAAAGGAACGGGGTCGCTCTTGTCCTGTGAAAGCTTGTTGCTGATCGTCTATCTTTTACACGCATTGATATGCCTACAGTATGTGATCGAAAGCTACGTCTGCTTACACAGGTCGCGACCAGACCGGACCTGGGTGTTGCAGAGCGAGACTTGGAGCGGCATGCTGATGAGGCTCGCAGCTAGGATGCCGAGACTGTCACCAAACTGTCAGATGCGAACAAAAGAAGCAATGTAGGAGTTAGACATCTTCACCTTGGCAGCGATGAATGAGAGAAAACTTACGCCGACGCATCCGATCCTGAACTCGTGCTCCTGTGCCTTCTTCGCCAGCCTATACTCCTGATCCTCCGCATCTGCATCCGCATCCCGCTCCTCGCTCGGCAGCGCAATCCCATCCTCGCGCTCATCCACGCCAATACTCCAAAACACCGACACATACGCCCCACCGCCCGCCAAGCCCTCGACACACACCAACACAATCACCAGCGGACTCGCAATACTCGCCCTAAACCACCCATACACACTCTCCGTCATCAACACCGCCAGGATCCCCGTCTGCAGCACCGCGGGCGCCCACAACCAGCGGCGCGGGATCGGCGGCAGCCCAAACATCGAGATCGACGAGCGCGACAGAAACACAAACGTCTGGTACACCAGCTGGTACAGCGGATAGTAGTCCGTCAGCTTGTGGATGACGAGCGAGAGGAGCGGGTGCGTGGCGCGCGTGGGCAGCGGATAGATGAGCGTCGGCGCGATGCCTTGGTTGATCGTGTACTCCATCGCGTAGACGATGACGAGCGGGATGATGTAGGGGAGCAGCATGGGCGTGAGCAGCGCCATCTTTTCGTTGAACGTGAGGCGGACGCGGACGTCGGGCGTGAGCGAGGAGGTGGGAGCGTGGACGTCGCCGTCGTCGTCGTCGTTGTCGTTGTCGGCGGCTATTTCTTCGGCTTCAGCATCATCTTCCGTCGAGACCGGCGCATACCCAGCACCCTTGTCAGCGGCACCACCCACCAACTGCTCCACGGACGGCAACACCACCGTATACGCCAACACCATAAACCCGGGCAGCACACTCAAGATCGCCATACCCGTCTGCACCCCCAGCGGCCGCACCACCCACCACGCCGCGGCGCCCACCAGCCCTGCGGCGCCGGTCCCGCTCGCAAACCACCCCACCGCATCGCCCGCAAACACCTTGTACCGCGTACTGAGCTGCAGAAACGTCAGCTCGCCGAGCCCGGACGAGAAGCTCGCCAGCGAGATCCCCGCCAACCGCATCCCCAGTGCCGGGAAGAACGAGACGAGCAGCATGCCGCCGAAGCTCAGTGCGGCGCACGACCAGACGCGCCACGTGTAGCGCACCTCGCCGCGCAGCATGTATGGCCACACGGCCTTGGCGATGAGCGCCGGAAAGATGTTTACAAAGCTGACCAGACCCGTGGGCACGCCCTGCGGGAGCAGCTCGAGCGCCGCAGTGAGGATGACGACGTAGAGCGAGTTGTTGAGCAGGCCGAACAGGAAGAATGCGCTGTTGAGGCGGTAGGAGGTCGATTTTGGTGGTGGTAGGGAGGGTTGAAGGGGTGCGAGGCGCCGAGAGGTGACGGCGGGAGATGGACCGGTCACCATGTTGGAAGGAGGCGAGGAAGACGAGGCTTCGATGCGTCGAAGTGGCACTGCTTCGATCGCCACCATGCATGTGCGTGTACTCCCGTGGAGCAGGTAGGGTTCGGGTTCGAGCTGGCGATCTCTTCTGCTGCAATGCTGAAAGGGGTTGTCTAGGATCCAGTGAGTCGATGTAGCGCCCTTGTTGCGCTTGGGTTCCGATGATTGTGCTTGCGTCTGGACAAATCGAGCAAGGCGTGGAGAGAGGCGAGTGTTGAGGTCGAGATGATGATGGTGTAGAGTAGGTGCTGCTGCAATGAAATTGTAACGTGGCAAGTGCGTTGAACCCTGAATCGCTCGCTGTCCCTGTCGCTTGCGCCCGCGTCGATTTTACGGTTGTCGCTATCTCCTGAGAGGATGATTTTCGCATCGCTTGCTCTCTTTCACTTTGCCTTGAGACCTCGTGTCAAACACAGGAGCGCTGATTCTGAGACACAGCATTGCGAGAAAACCATGGCAATCGAAAGCAAGAAACACGAATCTAGCATGGTAGCTGTCTGTGGAATGTGAAGCTCAACAGCTTCTCGCATCAATCGCGGCGCAGGTTGTCCAAACGAGCCTGAAGAGCGTCTTCATCCTTGCTGGCACCACCTCCGCCAAACCCACTTCCGGCACCTTCTCCAATCGCGACACGCTGCTGCGGTGCGGCTTGCGGAGCGGACAATGCGGCTGTGGGTGCCTCGCCGAGCTGCTGACCGACGGAAACGCCAATCTCGTCGAGCACCTCTTTGAGGATGTTGTCCGACTCTTCCTCCTCTCCAACGCCCTCATCCTCGTCGTCCATGGCTTCGTCGACGGCCTCGCCCATCATCTCGTCCTTCATGTCCATGGTGGCGCTTTCGCGTTCGAAGTCGCGCATGATGCGTTGGATGGCTGGCAGGTTCATGCTCCTGTTCATCGTGCCCATGGCCTGGTGGAGTTGAGAAGAGCGAAAAAGAGATGAGTAGCTGGCACCGACTTTGGATGATGCGTTGCGAGGCGACTTACCCGTGTTGCTCCCTTCATAGCCTCGGCCATCTGCTGGTTGCTCCTCAACGTCTGGATGCGTAACGAGACGGCTTGCAGCTGCGTCTTCATCTGGTAGAACTTGTGGATGTGTCTTCTTGTCCTGACCAAGTCCTTGGCCATGACTTTGCATGCGGACTGTCATCACACGGCATCATCGGACAGGACGTCAGTGTTCTGCACATAAAGCGATCTTTGACGCTCTGCAGCAGTGGACGATAATCACCATCTGACCTTCACGCGCGCTCTTCTTGATATCCTGAGTGAGCTTCTTCTCCTGCTGTTCGAGCTTTGTGCGTTCGCGATCGAGCTCTCGCTGTGCCTTTTGGAGTGTCCTCTGATGCTGCCTGAGTCGCTCCGCTGGCGACTTGGCCCTGCCGAAGAGCGATTCGATGATGTTCATGGTCGAGAAAGGTGGATGTCGATTTGGTCTTTCAGCGTGTCGAGATTGTTGGGCTGTGTTGAATCTGTTGGGTTCTGATCGGCTGATCCGGTGTGATCACTGCGTCTTAGCAAAGAGTGACTGAGAATGTATGTGATGGTAGCAAAGAAAGGATGCTGAACATCGGTCCATCCGCGCTGCGCTTTCGCTGGAAAAGTGGAGCACAAATGGCCGATGATGCAGCTCGACGGTCGTGGGTGCTTGGACCCTCTCTGACCGAAAATAACTGTAAGCTGAGCAGCTCTCTCTCTCTCTCTCTTTGCGACCTGACACTTTCAGAAAAATCGCATTTTGATCTGTGCGTGCGTGCGTGTTGAAATTTCGTTCGCTTCTGCTGCTCGTCCGCCTTGGAACGGAGTCAGAGTCGAATGGGAAGCTCTCTCTGCAGCTGCTTGCTGGTGATGGTGTTGCTTCTGGTGGATTTGGTGTTGCTGTCTGTCGCTACTTTGCTCGCTCGGCTCCTCGACAGCGACCATCATTAGACCTTACACACAGCCATCGCTGCCGCTGCTGCACGCAGAGCAGGTCTCTGTTAGCAACGCTCACTACGATAGCGAAGGCTCCCCCACAGACGCTCCTCTTCGAGTCCACCTGTGGCTTGCTCCCAACCCAACGTCATCGACACCATGGCGTCGCTCATCCCACCAAAGAAACCGCGCAAGCCGGGCATGCCCAAGCTCACCATCCCAACCCGACCTACATCCTCCTCGTCAGCCCCTGGTGGGTCTCTCCAACGCGACGATGCGCACTTCGATACCGCAAATGCACGTCCTGCACTTCAACAGCAGCAGCCGAGCCAGCCATCGCAGCGTCCACAACCTTCGCTCATGATCCCACAAGCATCGTCCTCCTCGTCCTTGAGCCTTGGTGGCGGCGGTCACGCATACCAGGACGAAGGCTACGAAGACGGTCATCCGGGCATCTTCAACTCGACCGCTTCCACCATCTATCCGGATACCGTACCGCATCTCACCAACGCGCAGATGCACACCGCCATCACAGACGATCTACGGCGCGCCATCGGTGGCATGTCCATGGCCGACACCGAGGGCGAGCTGCTCGATGCCAACGGGCTCAGGATCCCCGTCACCGGCGGCAAAAACTCGTCCAACGGCTATTGGATGACCAGCGACTCGGCCAACACCAGCAGCAACGGGCATGCCACAGACACAAATGTTGGTAATAGCGCCGACGCCGCCTCATCGCACCACACACAATTCCGCCCGAGGACCGACTCGAGCGTTTCGGCCGCATCGACGCGTGCGAG